TGCGAGAGACTCCCAAAACGCGACTCGTAAAAAATGGCGTATAGGGCATAATGGTGGTACGCTACGGGCAAACGGGACTATGGCGTTTCCCGAATCATTGGAACTCTGTTTGATATGTACTGTTCATGGTCGGCGGCGTTGGCGTATGCTGCGAGCATCTCTCACCCGCTGTGTCGCATGTGTGTCAACCCTAGTTTCAATACGAAATTGCATGTTCTTATAATAAGTAGCACAATAGACGAAGAATAGGGTCGAGCTGTTTACATCTTTTTCTTTTCTTTTTTGTTGTTGTTTTTTTTTTTTTTTTTTTTTTTCTTTGGAGAATTTCGTCAAGTTGTGGCGTTGACGAAAATTAGGGCCGTAGAGCAGGAACCTCAAAAAGTTTACGAAAATCGTAACAAGCTCAAACTACCCAACTTGACCGAGTTGCGCAACGGATAGACCACACCCTAAGCGAGTCGAGGTTTGTATCTCAATCACTCAACACAATATTTGCAGACGGATCGAGGTTTGTTTCGTTACAGATAGTGGCATCTCTTGAATGGCTGGATTTCGGATCCTGATTTTTTTCCACGATGAAGTGGATACAGCTCCGCGCATTGGTTGACGAGGTCTGACAGATTGAGGTTTGTCAAAGCTCGTCCTCCAATCACAACGGTCGCTTTTAATCGCACAATCAGGACTATAATCCAAACAATATAGTTGAAATCTAATCTCGGTGCGTATATGGTAGCTGCTTCTATGGATAAACGTCTTATGGTATAGTACGTAGTATGGTGTTATGAAATATCATTCAGAGTATAGCGCAGAATACTATAGGGGAGCGTGACTACAATGTGCCAATACAAATGAGGCTTAGGGCTTATATAGTGCGAGTTGACCAGGGTTGAACCTCGACGGTTAGTCTAGTTAAGGGCTCGATAGTCCCGAGGGCGACGGGGTCAAATTGGGTTTAGGGCGCCTCGGTAACAGGTTCGGGGCCGATTAGGTCGGCGAAGGTGGTTTGACGCGAGGCTTGCGGGCCGAGGCTGCGGACACGCACTGTTCGCGATACTCGCTGTGGCGAAACCCTGTAAGGATTCGTGAAACGAAGGCCGAACTGTCATAAAAAATAATCCCCGATATGAGTGTAGGTCTTCATTATAGTGACGAGCGTAATGATTACACCGTCCTGACGAGGTCTTCGAGTCGAACAGCAATCGAGGGTCAGAAAACGTCGAAACGGTCGCTTTTTATCGTGGCCGTCGAGGATGGTTGAAATTCCCAGCTGACCGAACGGGCAAGGGTAAGTACTCCCGCGGAAGACTGGCAACACAAAAAATTGTCGAGTGGACGATTGATGACGGCGCGTGGCAGACGAATATCTTGAAATGATGTATTGGCGAATGACGTGGCCGATGAAATGAAAATTCCTTCATCAAAACGCGAGGTCGTTCGTGTCACATACAAGAGCACGCGTGCGTGTCCCATGAAAAGTCAGCGAACTCCATCAACGAAGTGACGAACTCAGGCGTGGAAGCGTAACGGTGACAAATGTTGGTCGAAGATGGATGATGGAACACGCCGAAGGGTCAGGCAAAATCTGCAGCGCACGTGCACCTCTTCCCTCCTCCAAAAGAAAACAGCTCCCAACGATCGAGGTAAAATCCCAAGAAACCCAACGCTCCAAGGTAGTCGAAAGTGTATCACACCGCTGCTTAAGAAGCCCGGAACTCAGCTTCGAAGATGCAGCGACAAAAACTCCCTATTGTAAAACTCCCAATCTGCTCCAACGCTGAAATTCCTCGGCAAGGTAAACCGCTCCAAGGGTCTTAAAACTCAGAAATAATTGCTCCATGAGACTCCCACACGAGCTCAAAAAAGCTTCACAAGTCAAACATTGTTTACGAGCTGGCCCCAACACAGCTCCAACAGTTGCAGATACTTCCAACTGCCAAATCTTCACGATCGATACTGCTGCTGTCAGGTGTCGGGTTGTGAGGCGGGACGTGTTTACACAATGTCGAGCGAACTAGGCGAATGGATGACGGAGGCGCTAGCGGGTGGTGGCAAGGGGCTGACGATGAGTGCGATGACCTGTAACCTGTACCGAACCACCTGTGAAAAAACCTCGAAAAGAACACGGGATAGAATGCTGCCAGCTGCATCAGCTACGTTGTCCGTACACGCCGAAATATTCGGGAAGAGACGAAACAACTGCTGCTATCCTTCTCCTCCATGTAACAAAGCTTTCCGAAAATCCCAGTCGATGTTGCTCGTACCCCTGAAAATAGCAGACAACTTTCCAGCTGTAAAAACTGGCTCCTACTTCAGCGAAATAATCGGAACTTTACCCGGGACTTAACAAATACTGCAACTCCGCTTCACAGCTGAACGTGCTTCGTAGCTACTCGTAAAACATTGACGCGTCGTCCTTTAGCTGCACCCCCATCGGTCCGTCACCAGCTGTACGCATGAACTGAACCCTTTAATCTAGGGTACTCGTCGTTCACCGCCCGGGCATGGGTCTTCGGCCGTCGATCATGGCTGACAAGCATCATACGTCGTCGATCTCCTCACAGCTATGACCCAAACTCGTAAAATACTCTGGTACCCCTGACCTTCAGGTGCTTAACAGCTGCGCCGCAGGTTTTCGAAGAATTCCCCATCTGGCACCAGGCGTTTAGCAGCGCGCCGACATTCACCCATCATTGCTCCTTCCATGACACCGCAATAGGTCCTAGGCATTATCGCGCGTTGAAGTAGCCCACGTAATCAGGGTCAACTCCCTTCTGCTTAGCCGCACTCCGAAAATTTCGGGAACAGTGTCAAACTCCTCCAACTGTAACCCAAAACTCTTCAAAATACTCTGGTACCCCTGCCAGCTGGCCGTGCAGGCGTTCACCCACCTCGCGGCTGCTGCAGGTTACCCAAAACCGTTTCGCTGCTGCTTAACTAACTCCTCTAAAAACCTGCATTGTCAGAGGCGTGAAGGGCACACGACAAAGTCGGTTGGACTAAAGAAGTCCCCGCACGACCGCTTGACACCTCCTGCCTCCCGACGTGCCAGGGTGAGAACACTTCGAATCTTACACCCGCAAAATTAGGAAACTCCTTGTGCTGCACCAGGTGAAACCCTCAGCTGTACTGCTGCACTTCTCCCCTGAAATTTCGGGGACACCCCTCAGCATAGTGTAGATTGCAGGTTCACTCCCCTTTAACCATGTGTGGACGACCCATACTCGAATCGACGATGTGGTGGGAATGGTGATCATCGGGCGACGAAGCTCCGTCAGCAGGGGATCCGTCTGTTGCCTGGCGTTTAACTAAAACCCAACTTCTTCCAGTCATTTTACTTCGAACTGCTTCAGCTCTTGACGGTTTGACGCTTGCAGCGCCACGGTGGAAAACACTTAATACACACTTGAGGGTGGTGGCCTCCGTTTCCGTTGATCGTGGGGGTATGACTGCTGCTCCATGAAAACGTTTCCCTCTTCAGGAAGTCACCCCTGCTGAAATTTCCAGAACATCTCCATCCCCTCCATGTGAGACAGCACATGCAGGAAACGCCGAGGTAAGTCTTCTTCGTGCTCCTGTTGTCTGGCTCATCCACTCCTGCGATCGTGGCCTTCCGAAATAATCGCAGCCGCCCTTTGCCGCAACAGCTTCTGAAGTCCCGTCCATCGCCTGCAACTAGCCTGCCGGAAACGCCGACGCAAGTGACGCAACTGCACTTCACTATGCAGCTACATGGCACGACATGCGCACTTCACAATTTTCACCCATTCGCGCGCTCCTTGATGACCATCACTTGGCCGCCCGAGGATTCCTGTGTGCCTGTCTTCTCTTGACGACTCCTCACAATTTTCGGAAACCAATTTGAAAACGTCGTTAGAATCTTCTGAAAATCACGAAATACTAGCGAACATACCCGAAATCTCGGCGAAAACGTCGCCATCTCTTCGACGGAAAATAATCTGTCTACGCCTGGGGAAGGGGAGGACTGGCTAATCCCAGCCGTCCATCGGACAGGATCCGACGGCATCGAAAGGGCTACGCCACCAGCATCCTTCCGCCCCCTTCCTTGATAGGGACTGCTCTCCTATCGGAACATAGATGGGTAGAATCGTTGCTCTGATACCAGCTGTTATGAAATATTATACAGGGTATAGCACATAATACTATAGGAGTGCGTGGCTACAATGTGTCAATACAAACGAGGCTGACTTATATAGTGCGAGTTGACCAAGATTGAATCTCGAGGGCTGGACCAGTCACGGGCTCGATAGTCCCGAGTGCGACATGGTCAAATTGAGTTCGGGGCGCCTCGGTAATAGGTTTGGGGCGGACTAGGTCGGCAAAAGTGGTTTGACGCGAGGTTTGCGGGTCGAGGCTGCTGACACGCGTTGTTCGCGGTACTCGCTGTGGCGAAACCCAGTAAGGACTCGTGGAATCCTTACACCTAGAATGTCATTGGGATGAACGCATATGATTTGTACAACCAGGTTCCCTCTTGGGTTTATATTTTTTTAGCTGCCTGGAAACGATTTGATTGGCTTGAGTACAGTTGAACAAGGCTCCTAGCAAATTTTGAGTGTTGGCGAAGTTGTCCCTTCTTTACAAGAGGAATTTGACGGCCCGATCCATCGTGGCATCACAGAAGCCACATATGTTTCAATTATGTGACAGCCAAGACGCGCCCAGCCGACTTTCGATTTCTGCCTAACCAGCCAAGTAGTTTCTCCATCTGTGCTGCTGACTCATCCGTTCTGCGTGGGGCAGAGAAAGCTTGGTGGGGGTGGCATGAGTCATCATTGATGTTGCAGGTTCTGCCTGAACTCCTAACCACTGTAACCGGACGAACGAAGAGCGATGGATTCGCCATGCAACCTTGATGTTACTGTCGTCGTGGGAATGCTGGTCGCTGGCGAATCTCGTTATGTTCGCCACACGGTTCAAAGGCTAGTTTGCCACCCCTCGAGTTTTGCCAGATTTTCAACCGCCATAGGTTAGGGAAGGCTTTTTGTGACCATTCCAGCAGTGCCTTCGGTTTGGCAATGGCTACTAGCATTACCTAAACCCTAGTCGGCGCTTCAAACTGTCACTCTCGCAGAGTGAAACTCTCAGTCGGCTGTAGCATTTGGGCTTGAAGCGTTGTCCGCCACACACCACGCTGGATCTCCGCATGATTGAGCTAGCAGCCGTCTTTCACCGTGGCTGCCAGCCGACTTTCAGCCTGGCAGGGCAGCCCTTTTCGTGTTAAGGCCCGTCTCAACCATAACGTGTAAACTACTACTAGATTGACCGGCGACACGATGGAGATAAAGAGCTTCCGTCTTCATCCTTCGGCGTCGCGTCTTGTCGATACGACGGTCCGCACTGCCCGCGATTCACCTGTGCGCACAACGCGAAGCCGCTTCAGGGGGGATCGCCGGGACTCCAGCTCTTCAGAAGAGCTGCCAGGGTCCCTGCCAGGGTCCTGACGGTGAGGCTCAGGACGCGCCTCCCGCTTGACTCAAGGGAAACCTTGCGATTTACTAGGTGGTGAGCCGCGGCCTCTTTTGGTCTCGGCTGAAATCGGTCAGGCGTAAGTGAAACATTAAATCCGAGGACATCGGAATGTCGAACCCAGCCGCCGCATCCGCGCCGGGAGGAGCGGCGTCGTTGGCGATGGAGGAGAGCATGCAGGATATCGTGCGCGCCGACGGGTACCTGTGGCTCAAGTACGGGCAGAAGAACATGCACAACAGCCACACCATACGGTAAGCATTGACACCTGGATCAATGCAGGTAGAGCTGACTCTACCATATGGGATCCCGTTAGGGTGCTACAAGTGCCGCTGCTCCAAGAACAAGCCTTTTGAGGCGCTGCTCAACAGTTGGCTTACACACGATAGCGGCGAAATTCAGCATGTCTAATTGGCTGGATTTGGCTGCTTTTGGCTGTTTTGGCTGGGTTTTCATGGCTGCTGCAGGTGCTACTACAAGTGCTACTGCTCCAAGAACAAGCCCCCCTGCCCAGCCAAGAAGACAGTCGACTACGACCGCCGCCTTCCCATCTCAACTTCCACCACACGAATCAACCACACCAACCGGTCTCACAACCACCGCGCCCCTCTCAACTGCTCCAGCGATACTAGTTGTACAGGCCAGGGCTGCTCTCTCAACCACTCCTGTGGTGCTTCAACAGCCCAGGGCTGCTCCCTCAACCGCTCCTGCGGTGCTGCTACAGCCCAGGGCTGCTCCCTCAACCGCTCCTGTGGTGCTGCTACAGCCCAGGGCTGCTCCCTCGACCGATCATGTGGTGCTGCTACAGCCCAGGGCTGCTCCCTCAACCGCTCCTGTGGTGCTGCTACAGCCCAGGGCTGCTCCCTCAACGCCGCGGACTCGAGCTCGTGGACCCCTGGCGCCATGGGCAGTACCAGCAACGTCAGCAACATCAGCAACGTCAGTGGCATCAGCAACGTCTGCAACGTCAGCAACCTCTGCAACGTCAGCAGCGTCAGCGACATCACGCTGGCTTTGCTTCTGAGCAGCGATGGCTCCCGCGCTGAATCGCTGGCTGAATCCGGCTGGCTGAATCCGGCGCTTTGCTTCGCGCTGGCTGGATCCGGCTCCAATGGACGCGCTGCTTCCTCTGCTTCTCATGCTAGTCCCGGCACGTGTAACTCTTCACAATCAAATGCGGTTCCTGCTGCTGTTCTTGCTGCTGCTTCTACTGCTGCTCCTGCTGGTGCTCTTGCTTCTCTTCCTGCTCCTTCTCTTGCTGCTGCTCCTACTGCTGCTCTTCCTGCTTCTCCTGCTGCTGCACTTGCTGCTGTTCCTGCTGCTGCTCTTGCTGCTGCTCCTGCTGCTGCCACGTCTGGTACAAGCCCTCCCCCGCAGAGCCGTGGGGAGTCCACTGCTCCCGCAGGTGCTCCAGCGGTTTCATCTCTTCTCTTCAGCTCCTCCTGCGAAACGCTCACGGCCGAAGGTGGCGAATTCGGCGAATTTCTGGAGGAAACCGGCCCTCCGGATGAAACCGGCCCTCTGGATGCAGGCTGGCCGTGCGCTAAGAGGGTCCGTCTGACACCCACTGAAGAGGCAACGTCCTCTGCAGGCTGTTCCCCCCCCAGCATGGGATTTTTTGAGGCAGTGCCTGTAGATTTGGAGCAGCTGTGCGGTGCTGACTTTTGCATCCCTGAGCCGTGCAGCGCTCCTGAATTTGCTGCTGCCAGTGACCTTCTGTTTTTTCCGCCTGGTCTTGCGAACGCCGATGCCTTGCTCCAGGATCTTCTTGAGGAGGCCTCTTGGCTGGAAGCAGGAAGTGCGAGCCTCGAGGTTTCCTGGGGGGAGTGTGGCAGTCTGGATGACCAAGAGTCTCACAGAGAGTCGTTTCAATTGGCGCGAGATGCTTCGTGCATGTGGGGCGATGGCGTTGCGGGGGAATTCCTTGATGGGACCGTAGAGTCTGCAGCTGAGGGAAGTCTCAGTTGTATGTCGTTCAGTGGGCACAATGGCAGGCGTGATAGCGGGCCCATGATGTTGAGGCCTGGTAGTGTGCACGGCATTTTCAGCTTCATGGGTGGGAGTGATTCCCTTAGCGTTTTCGACCTGATTGGTTGTTAGCATACCGTATCCCCCGTATATAACACCTGCCGGAATAGTCACTTCGTGGGTGGTTACAGGGCCGATGTTTCATAAAAAACCACTCTGATTTTGGCCCCCAATTTTTTTCACAAGTCTGAGTAGCCACGTTTCAGATTTCACGTAGTCTGATTTTGCAGGATCCAGTGAGTCTCAAGTCTGATTTCTTCAGGGTTCGCACGTATCAATCAGAGTCGTAATTTCACCATTTACTGGCCATCATTTCATAACATTATGGCTCGTGAGTCGTAACCAACACCTAATCTAATTTCCTACCCTATCTAGAACTCTGGCACATCGACAGCGACTACATCCTCCGCCTCATAATTCGACAGAAAGGGGTTGTCTTCTATAGCTACTGCAGCTCCACCATTCCTCTCCCCCTCCTCCTCATCCCAATCCTCTCCTACGTAGTCTGGCACCGGAGGTTCGTGCTTGTCAAATGTAACTTAGGTCGTTACTGTAGACTATACTGGATTGTGCCTTAGAGGGTGCAACACCCTAGTCTATATACCCTTGTACTCACACATTCTAGTTCAATTTTTCTTTCTCACATGGTATCATAGTAGGTTAGGTTCCCCCCTAGCCCGCCCACGCTTCCGCCCCCTAGGCCCTAGCCACCGTCGTGCCTCGCTCCTAGCCGGCCCTCCTGGCCGTCGCGCTCGTCCCTAGCCGGCCCCCTGGCCGTCGCATCCGCCCCTAGCCGCCCACCTGGCCGTCGCGTCCGTCCCTAGCCGACCCCCTGGCCGTCGCGTCCGCCCCTAGCCGGCCCCCTGGCCGTCGCGCCCCTCCCTAGCCGGCCCCCTGGCCATCGCGCTCGTCCCTAGCCGCCCCCCTGGCCGTCGCGCCCGTCCCTAGCCGGCCCGCTGGCCGTCGCGTTCGCCCCTAGCCGGCCCCCTGGCCGTCGCGTCCGTCCCTAGCCGGCCCCTTGGCCGTCGCGTCCGCCCCTAGCCGGCCCCCCTGGCCGTCGCGTCCGCCCCTAGCCGGCCACCTGGCCGTCGCGCCCGTCCCTAGCCGCCCCCCTGGCCGTCGCGCCCATCCCTAGCCGCCCCCCTGGCCGTCGCGCCCGTCCCTAGCCGACCCCCTGGCCGTCGCGTCCGCCCCTAGCCGGCCCCTTGGCCGTCGCGCCCGTCCCTAGCCGGCCCCCTGGCCGTCGCGCTCGTCACTAGCCGGCCCCCCTCCCCTGGCCGTCGCGCCCGTTTCCTGCCGTCCCACGGCCGCCCCTAGCCATCTCATGGCCACGCCCTCGCCGTCGCGGCCGCCCCTAGCTGCTGTCGCTGCCGTCTCCTGCCGCCTCACGGTCACTCCTGCCGTCGCGGCCGCCCCTAGCTGCCATCGCGGCTTGCCATGGCCGCCGTCGCGGCCATGTCTCCTCGCCGTCATGACTGGCCCTACTCGCCGTCGCACCAGCTCCTCGCCAGCCCCCGTTGCCGCCGTTTGCTGGCCCCTCGCGTCTGCCGTCCGCCAGCCGGCTCCTGCATTCGCGTCGTCGCCAGCCCGCCGCCGCCTCGGGTTCGGCCCGTTCCTCCCGATCAGCACTGCCCTGCGAACCCCCCCGGTACCGTACTAGACCGCCTTGCACCGTACTGTACCGCACTGCACTGCACCGCACCGCACTGTACCGCACTGTACCGCACTGCGCCGCACTGCACCTTGCTGTAATGCTCTCCACTGCCCTCTATTGTCACTGATGGCGGAGGTGCTTCGCTTTGACGCTGAGGGCCAACCGATTGAGTTTGATGCGTGGCTTGCTGACCTCCGTCGCCACCTCACTGGTCAGCGGCAGGATGGCCACTCTCTGTCTGTCCATCTTGACGGTACTCTCCCCTGCCCTGACCCCCCTCGCCGCACTGTCTACTGATCCCTCGTTCGCTGAGCGTGAGTCCGCTGTGGCCGCTGCCCTTGCTCGCTCTGTCTGGTTGTCCCGTGACGCTGTCGCACAGCTTGCCATTAGCAATGCCCTCCCTCTGTCCGAGCGACTTCGCTTCAGGTCTATCATCACTGCCCAGGCTTTCATAGATGCTGTTGTCCAGCGCTATTCCACCCCGCCTGCTGCCTCGGTCGGTCGTCTGATCCTCCCCATGCTCTTCCCTGACCTTGCGTCGTTCCCCACTGTCGCCGACCTGGCCGCTCACCTGCGCACTATAGACGAGAGCTGGCGTGCTACCTGCACTCCCACACAGCTTCTAGCCCACCAGCCGCCCCTCACCTCTACTCTCTATCTGCTAGCCACCCGCTTCCTTGACCGTCTTGCCACTGCCCGTGACCACTTCCTTAACATCCATCCTGCAGACCTCACCCTCACTGACTTTGTTGAGACCCTGTCCGCTATAGAGGCCCGCCACCGCTCTATCGCTCAGACCAGCGGTACTGTGCTGGTCCCTATCTTTCAGGGTTGCGCCCCCGCTCAGTGCACCTTCTCTGACGGTTCTGTTGCTATGGCTGAGACTGCCGCTGCAGCACAGGTCCGTCCGGGGAAGGGTCGCCGCCCCAAGGCTGAGCGTGGCGGCGGGGGTGGGGGTGCAGGTGTAGGTGGTGCTGGAGCTGGGTCTCCTGGTGGTGGTGCAGACGAGGGGACCCTGCTAGGTGCAGCCGAGCAGCCGTCTCAGCAGCCGCCGGCGTTGCAGTCAGACTCGCGTTAGCCGCAGCAGTCGCCGCAGCCGCAGCAGTCGCAGCCGCAGCAGAGACGGGCGAGTGGTCTCCCGCCCGGGTGGCCTGGCGCTGGTGGTAGCGCTGGACGTGGTGGTAGTGCGCGTGGTGGGCTGCCGAGTGGTGGTTCGGGTGACGCGCGCTATCAGTACCTGCTCCAGACCGGTCCTCGCCGTGGCTTCGTTTGCGGTAAGATCGGTCACACCTCCGTCCGCTGTTTCCGTCGCCTGGACGACCTGTTTCGTCAGCGTTTCGGCCCGTCGCCCGAGCTCCCAGACTGGCACAGTTTTCTTCATCGTAGGGTTCAGTTTTTTTATATGGATATGGATGAGATTGTTATTGCTCTGCATGTGATGTATGTTGATGACTCTAGTGTGCTTCCGTCTTATTACCCCTTGTTGCCTAGTGTAGGTGTGCCTTGCTTAGACTCCCCTGCTGCGTCAGGCGTAGGATCCCCTGCTTTGTTTAGCCTTGGTGCTTCCGTCGCTGCTTCGCCTCCGGCCACCACTGCCGCGCTCTCCTTCACCCTCGACTCTGGCGCTTCCCGGTGCTTCTTCCGCGACTCCACCACGTTGACACCGCTTCCTATCCCTGCCGCAGTCTCTCTTGCTGACCCCTCCTTCGGCCCAGTAGTCGCCCGCAGTTCCACCACCCTCCCCTGCCCGGCGGTTCCTTCGGGCTCGCTCACAGGACTGCACATCCCCTCGTTCTCTAGGAACCTAGTTGGTGTCGGCTGCCTTCAAGACCTTGGCGTCACCACTACGTTCCATGGACACAAGCGGTACGCTGTCTGTACCGAGGCCGCCACTGGTGCCCCCCTGTCCACGTTCCCACGGGACCCGATGTCCGGTCTTTTCATACTAGACACGGTGACTCCCCTGGCTGGAACCCCCCCTCAGGTGATTGCGCCTCCCCCGGTTGCTGCTGCCTGCTCCTGTCGGTCTCTCACTCACCCGACTCTTCTCTGGCACCACTGCCTAGGTCACCCTGCGCTCTTGCGTCTGCGTCACATGTCACAGCACGATCTCGTCCTAGGCCTCCCCGGGTCGTTCCCCGAGTTTCCCTCCTCCCCAGCCCCACCTTGCACGCCTTGTGTCGAGGGCCAACTCCGCCGTGCCCCTCACTCCTCCTCGTTTCCCCCTACTGCAGCACCGCTACAAACTCTGCATATGGACGTCTGGGGCCCCGCCCCCGTCCATGGGCCGCGTCGAGAGCGCTACTTCCTAGTGCTTGTCGATGACCACACGCGCTACACCACTGTGTTCCCCCTGGAGCGGAAGGCCGACGTGCCTGCCATTCCTATTTTTATCCCGTGGCTTGTCTCTGCGCGTGTCCACCGCGGTCTCCCTGTCTTGCGTCTCCACTGCGACCGTGGTGGCAAGTTTGCCTCTGGTGTCCTTGGTCGTTTCTGTCGTGCGGGGGGCATCACCCAGACGTTCACCTTGCCGGACTCCCCGCAGCAGAATGGGGTCGCTGAGCGACGCATCGGTTTGGTGATGGAGGTGGCTCGCACCTCCATGATCCATGCCGGGGCACCCCATTTTCTGCGGCCGTTCGCCGTTCACTACGCCGCTCACCAGCTTAACCTGTGGCCGCACCCCCAGCAGCCTCAGGTTTCGCCGACCCTTCTCTGGTCTGGGTCATCTCGTGACGCGTCTGCGTTCCACGTCTGGGGCTGCGTTGTTCACGTTCGTGCCTCTGGCACGGACAAGCTCACTGCCCGCACCCTTCCCTGTGTCTTCCTCGGCTTCCCCCTTGACGCTTCTGACTGGCACTTCTACCACCCGCCGTCTCACCGGTTCTTTCACTCCTGTGACGTCACCTTTGACGAGTCCGTCTCCTTCTTCCGCCGCTTCCCCCACCGAGGTCCCCCGGTTACCCCCCCCCCCCTTGTTCTTGGTCACCCCTTCCCCGGTCGTCGCTGCCCCTCCTCCTCCCCCTCCCCGTCCTGCCCCCTCTGGTGTGTCCCACGTCACCCCACTTACGTCGGTTGTCCCGGTTGAGGAGTCTGCTGACACTGGTGGTCCTGCGGCGTAGTCCTCGCTACCTGCCCCTTCTCAAGTGTCTCCTCCTCCGCCGCCTCCGCAGCCGCTGTCGCCACCGCGGTCGCAGCCGTCGTCACCGCCGCCGCCGTCACCGCAGCCGTCGTTGTAGTTGCCGCTGCCGCAGCCGTCGCCGCAGCAGTTCGTTGCCTCTGGGGGTGGTGGAGTTGGGGTGGGTACTAGTCCTGGGACTCCTGTCGTGGCTTGTCTCGGCGGGCCTAGGGGTGGTACCGGTGCTCGAGGGGTTCTGAGCTCTGGGGGTGTTCCTTCTGGGGGTGCTGGCGTGGAGTGTTCTGGAGGTAGCCGCCAGGCAGCTTGCGGTCCTGGTGTCGGTGTCACACCTCCGCCGTAGCAGTCCCCGCCGGTGTCCGCTCTTCGCCTGCT